CTGTGTGTGTTGTGTCTGTATGTGTGTATCTGTGTTTGTATGTGTGTAGCTGTGTCTGTGTGTGTTGTCTCTGTCTGTGTGTGTTGTGTCTGTATGTGTGTGTGTTTTGTGTGTGTCTTAGTGTGTACGTGGTCTGTTTATGTGTGTAAATGTGTGTGAGTGTGTGTAAATGTGTGTATTTGAGTGAGTGTGTGTGTGTGTGTGTGTGTAAATGTGTGTACGTTTTTTGTGTACGCGTCTGTGTCTTTTCGTGTATGTGTCTGTTAGTATGTTGGTATTTCACCATAACCATCGGGAAAACATGGTCTCACTGCAGTAGACTCTACCGATATTGTTTGAATATCGGGCTGAATATAAAGAAAGCTATTTACTTCATGAATCATTACCAGCTGCTGATGTAAAACGTGTTTATATATACCTTTGTCGAAATGTAGGAGGAAAATACTACAGTTTCTGTACACCTGTGTGATATGTATTACCCGCCTGGTTGCATGTACACAGATCCGTCACGTGGTACCTTGTACTTCACCGCCATGTTCAGTCACCGATAGTCTGGAATATATGCTGAGTTAGTGCCCCTATTATGTATAACAAAACAGCTGTTGATCAATAACAGTCACGAGATCCCGTGACGTCACGAATAAGAAGGATCTTCTGTGACCAGGCAGCGGAGCGTTGAGTTTACACAATGAGGAAGGTGGCAGAGGGAAGGAGAGGGCGGGCACGTGTCGTCCTGCTGAATGTGTCGACACCGGCCCAGTATGTTGCCTTGTCAAGGGTACATACTTGTGTTGAACGAAAGACCTGTACCAGTATGAATGTAGTATTTGTATCAGATCTCTGACAGCGTGGTGTGAGTGTACAGAATAATTTGCCTCCAGCATTTTGAATCAATTGTCGTTAATGTGATCAACAAACAGGTACAAATCTTGAACTCATATAACGTTGAAACTGAAGTAATAACTCACTGGCCTGTCAGTTACTGAAATGAATGTGTGTAATGGAGATGTGTGTGTGTGTGTGTGTGTGTGTGTGTGTGTGTGTGTGTGTGTGTGTGTGTGTGTGTGTGTGTGTGTGAGAGAGAGACAGAGAATGTTGAGAGAATGATGTTAACGTGTGTATACCCATGTGTGTGTGTGTGTGTGTTAGACTAAGGCTTAGTCTCTGAATATATATAATTTTGATAGTAACAAACAAGCCCATTTATATTGAAAAGGAGCCCTAGGAAGACCAGAGATTCAGAACCTGAGGAAATCAAGACTTGCCTTAATTAGGGCTTTAGCACTGCAAAGGGGGCTTGGCAGTAAGGAAATTAATGTGGTTCAGGGACTGTGAGACAGACTATGTGTGTGTGTGTGTCTGTGTATGTGTGACTGTCGTCCGTGTTTTTATGTATATGCTTGTATGGTGTGTGTGTGTGTGTGTGTATCTATATATATCTATATCTATATCTGTATCTTAGTACCTGTACCACTCTGAGTGAGGTTGAAAGTATATCAATCTTAGTACCTGTACCACTCTGAGTGAGGTTGAAAGTATATCAATCTTAGTACCTGTACCACTCTGAGTGAGGTTGAAAGTATATGTATCTTAGTATGTGTACCACTCTGAGTGAAGTTGAAAGTATATGTATCTTAGGACCTGCACCACTCTGAGTGAGGTTGAAAGTATATGTATCTTAGTATATGTACCACTCTGAGTGAGGTTGAAAGTATATGTGTCTTAGTATGTGTACCACTCTGAGTGAGGTTGAAAGTATATGTATCTTAGTATATGTACCACTCTGAGTGAGGTTGAAAGTATATGTATCTTAGTATGTGTACCACTCTGAGTGAGGTTGAAAGTATATGTATCTTAGTATATGTACCACTCTGAGTGAGGATGAAAGTATATGTATCTTAGTATGTGTACCACTCTGAGTGAGGTTGAAAGTATATGTATCTTAGGACCTGTACCACTCTCAGTGAGGTTGAAAGTATATGTATCTGAGTATCTGTACCACTCTGAGTGAGGTTGAAAGTATATGTATCTCAGTATGTGTACCACTCTGAATGAGGTTTAAAGTACATGTATCTTAGTACCTGTACCATTCTCAGTGAGGTTGAAAGTATATGTATCTGAGGACCTGTACCACTCTCAGTGAGGTTGAAAGTATATGTATCTGAGCATCTGTACCACTCTGAGTGAGGTTGAAAGTATATGTGTCTTAGCATATATGTACCATTCTCAGTGAGGTTGAAAGTATATGTATCTGAGGACCTGTACCATTCTCAGTGAGGTTGAAAGTATATGTATCTTAGTATATGTACCACTCTGAGTGAGGTTGAAAGTATATGTATCTTAGTATGTGTACCACTCTGAGTGAGGTTGAAAGTATATGTGTCTTAGGACCTGTACCACTCTGAGTGAGGTTGAAAGTATATGTATCTGAGCATCTGTACCACTCTGAGTGAGGTTGAAAGTATATGTGTCTTAGGACCTGTACCACTCTGAGTGAGGTTGAAAGTATATGTATCTGAGCATCTGTACCACTCTGAGTGAGGTTGAAAGTATATGTGTCTTAGGACCTGTACCACTCTGAGTGAGGTTGAAAGTATATGTATCTGAGCATCTGTACCACTCTGAGTGAGGTTGAAAGTATATGTGTCTTAGGACCTGTACCACTCTGAGTGAGGTTGAAAGTATATGTATCTGAGCATCTGTACCACTCTGAGTGAGGTTGAAAGTATATGTATCTCAGTATCTGTACCATTCTGAGTGAGGTTGAAAGTATATGTATCTCAGTATGTGTACCACTCTGAATGAGGTTGAAAGTATATGTATCTTAGTACCTGTACCATTCTCAGTGAGGTTGAAAGTATATTATCTTAGTATCTGTACCCCTCTGAGTGAGGTTGAAAGTATATGTATCTTAGTACCTGTACCACTCTGAGTGAGGATGAAAGTATATGTATCTTAGTATGTGTACCACTCTGAGTGAGGTTGAAAGTATATGTATCTTAGGACCTGTACCACTCTGAGTGAGGTTGAAAGTATATGTATCTTAGTACCTGTACCACTCTGAGTGAGGTTGAAAGTATATGTATCTTAGGACCTGTACCACTCTGAGTGAGGTTGAAAGTATATGTATCTGAGCATCTGTACCACTCTGACTGAGGTTGAAAGTATATGTGTCTTAGGACCTGTACCACTCTGAGTGAGGTTGAAAGTATATGTATCTGAGCATCTGTACCACTCTGAGTGAGGTTGAAAGTATATGTATCTCAGTATCTGTACCATTCTGAGTGAGGTTGAAAGTATATGTATCTTAGTATCTGTACCACTCTGAGTGAGGTTGAAAGTATATGTATCTTAGTACCTGTACCATTCTCAGTGAGGTTGAAAGTATATGTATCTTAGTATCTGTACCACTCTGAGTGAGGTTGAAAGTATATGTATCTTAGTACCTGTACCACTCTGAGTGAGGTTGAAAGTATATGTATCTTAGTACCTGTGTACCACTCTGAGTGAGGTTGAAAGTATATGAATCTTAGTATGTGTACCACTCTGAGTGAGGTTGAAAGTATATGTATCTTAGTACCTGTACCACTCTGAGTGAGGTTGAAAGTATATGTATCTTAGTATGTGTACCACTCTCAGTGTACCACTCTCAGTGAGGTTGAAAGTATATGTATCTTAGTATGTGTACCACCCTGAGTGAGGTTGAAAGTAAGTATGAATCTTAGAAAAGTATATGTGTACCACTCTCAGTGAGGTTGAAAGTATATGTATCTTAGTATGGGTACCACCCTGAGTGAGGTTGAAAGTAAATGAATCTTAGTATGTGTACCACTCTGACTGAGGATGAAAGTATATGTATCTTAGTACCTGTACCACTCTGAGTGAGGTTGGAAGTATAAGAATCTTAGTATGTGTACCACTCTGACTGAGGTTGAAAGTAAATTAATCTTAGTATGTGTACCACTCTGCGTGAGGTTGAAAGTATATGTATCTTAGTACCTGTACCACTCTCAGTGAGTTTGAAAGTATATGTATCTTCGTATATGTACCACTCTGACTGAGTTTGAAAGTATATGAATCTTAGTATGTGTACCACTCTGACTGAGGTTGAACGCATATGTATCTTAGGACCTGTACCACTCTGAGTGAGGTTGAAAGTATATGTATCTTAGTACCTGTACCACTCTCAGTGAGGGTGAAAGTACATGTATCTTAGTACCTGTACCACTCTCAGTGAGGTTGGAAGTATATTATCTTAGTACCTGTACCACTCTCAGTGAGGTTGAAAGTATATGTATCTTAGTATGTGTACTCTCAGTGAGGTTGAAAGTATATTATCTTAGTATGTGTACCACTCTCTATGAGATTGAAAGTATATGTATCTTAGTACCTGTACCACTCTGAGTGAGGTTGAAAGCATATTATCTTAGTATGTGTGAGGTGAGATGGAATTGGGTTTAACGTCGTACTTGAGAATATATCGCTAATATGACGACTCGCATGCGTGTGTATGTCTATGTGCGGGTACTTGTACTAGCCCAGACTGAAGCTGGTTTTATAGTGCTAGCCCATTGAGATACCATGCCGCAGTGAAGCATGAATACCCCACTCAGACACATTATACTGACTCCGAGCCGACCAGTCCTTGTTGTACCCATTAATGCCAAGCGCCAGGCAGGGACCAACAGTACCATATTTTAACGTCTTTTGGTATGACGCGGTCGGGGATCGAACCCGCGACCTTCCGCTCTCCGGGCGGACGCTCTAACCAGTACATAGTATATATATACGTGCATATAATATGTGCAACATTGACAGTGGGTCTGTATGACATCATTCTTTAGTATCTGCACCAAATGAGGGTTGAAGGCATTCGTGCCTGCGGTCGGACTTTTCCGCATAGATCATGGACAAATCTGTACCGTCGTCCGTATCAGCCAACACACAAAATTGTTGAATGACATGTAGATACAGAATAGATAAACACAAGAAAACAAACATAATAGAAACAATTTTATATTTTTAAAACAAACATATAACAACATCAACACAATGATAACACCGTTCATATTCAACCTACGTGACACCACGCTCAGACAGAGAAGCCATCTTAACATACATTCATAAATAGAAAAAATACAACCGTCGATCTCACATCTTTCATAGTCTATTTGAGCCTACTCTTCTTCGTTCTTAAATCTTTCAAGTTCTGACACCGTCGTAACAGCCATGGAGTCATTCTTGTCACGTACCACGCGATTCTTCAAACACACTGATTCGCTCAATCTCGTTCACGTTCTCAACCTGTCGGGTGGTTCGAGGGTCGGGGGTCGGGTAATGACGACATACCACCCTCGTCCCCATCTCCGGACAGCAGGGCCGGCACTTGTAGGGAGTATTACCCAGAGATTCCGACGAATGTTTCAAAGGGTAAAAAAACTACGATTTCTTTCTCAAATGGAAATAAGATGAATGATGATGATAAAACAGTTGGCAAGTCTTACACAGATCGAGTACGGGTATATGCTATTAAATTCTTGGTTACAGCTGACACTAGTTTCACAAAATACAAAAACAAATACCAAAAACATGGCACCACAATCTTGCATAGGTCAACTGTCGGTCTGCCTCTTCCAGAGTAAGGCACTACTTCGTTCATGAAGACCTTCACTGAAGTAATAGTTGAGCGCTCAATCAACAAAGATATAAAATATTAATAACTCCTAATTAAGACATGGGCTACACAAGGCTTGAAGGTCTTAAATGGCTTCCTTCATATTTCTTTTTGAACCTGTTTCTCAGACTATTGCAACTGGCGCAACACAACTGAATGACTTTTGTCTTTTGCATCTTGTGAAGTAATTCTACCTGATGACTCTCATCCAGAACTCCTAAACCTTTAACGAATATAAAACCACTTCTATATTCCTCTACACTTTAACTTTAATTATATCTTGTCTGTAATCCAGTATTCCTATGAACTGTCTTTTATCCAGAATTGACTATGCCATTAATCCAGAATCCATATCTTCAATCCAATATGTCCCCATGCATTTAACCCTAAAACTAGACACATAGATTACATAAACGCATGCCTCAGTCTATAATGCCCCTCAGAGTACTGGGTACTTGGCGTATCGTCTAAACCCTGTTAAGTACTGTTTACTGGCTTGTCAAATACACAGGGGTGTATATATAACCATCAATACAAGGCGAGTACCCGTCTATTGTACTAAACACCATGTTAGTTCTGTTAGTGTCTCCAGTGACAACCATTACAAGGCAGACTATGCCCCTGTAGCCACAGAAGAGACACCTCGCCACCAAATGTTCCTTCTATGGAATACGCAATCTTCTGTCTTCCTTGTTACCTGGTAACTACAAACTATCATAGATACGAGTCGTCATATAGTTTCTAGCGTCACAGATGTGCTGCCAGTTGAGCTATAGTTCATGTCGCCTTGTTGGGGACAAGGTTAGATCAGACACTGCCTGAAAATGTTCATGACCTTGACCTTCAGAGTCTTAGGAGTCGGAGATCTTCCTGATCTTTGGGCAGACGACACTGTGGATGTTGATGACTTCTTCCAAATGTTCTCTCTCGTCCTGCAGACGCTGAATCTCTTCCTTCAGGTGGTCCTGTTTGTTCTCCAGGCGGTTAATGTCCTGTTGACAAATACACCAAACCATAAAGTCACGTTTGACAAAAAAATGGGATGTTCCCTATCCACAAAGCTTCTAATACCTACTTCCAATGATCCATTATACGGTGGTTGAGGTCCCTACTCTACACTATGCTCTTCCAAACAAATATAATGTTGACAGGGCGTAACATCTCCTGGATGACTTTATGACAATGCACCCTTTCCTGTCATGCTTTCAAAAAAAAGTTGTCAGATCCAGACTCGACTATTCATAGATAGTCGTAATACAGCTATTAATCATAATACAGAATTAAAACGCATTCACTTTCCACAAACAAATTATGATTCCACCTCCTTGAAATAGCGAGAAATGTTTGTCACATGGCATCAACAAAGGATCTACATTTACTTACATTTTCCAGATGATCTGCGCGCTCCCGTTTCTTGTTCCGACACTTCTGCGCAGCCACCCTATTTTTCTCCTTCCGCTCCAGGTGCAGCTGTAGTGCCTCTTCTGTCAGCTGAAACAAACATGGCTGCATTGTGGAAACAGCTTACTCGGTAGAAACATCTAAGGACGTTGATAGAAGCAGTAAGTGATAATATGAGTTGCAAATTAGATGAGTTGGACAGAACACGCGTGGAAGGCTATCATCTTCCTCGCAGACAAAAACAAAAGATCAAAACGTGAGGAATAATATGGACAGTTTGCAATACTACTTTCAGGCCGGGGCTTCTTTGTCGTAATTATATATTTGCTTTTGAAATATTCTCTACTATTGTTGATTTACTGACCCCTCAACTCAGAAAAGCACCACTCTACTGAAATTCTATAGTACATCGACATCGAATGTCAGGGTGGTAGTTTCATACATTCAAAGAACATAAAGGAACTTGTCGGGACATATCTTATTTTCAGGATATGTATATTTAAACGTACCGGTTCTTTTGGAGAGGTTGGTCTTTCCAAGTCTACAATGATCTCCTCTTGACCTGATGCAAGTCGTTTGGCATGAATACGAGACTTCAACGACCCCTTGACAACATCAGTAACAGACGCATCCAGGAAACTGTCCTGTGACAGGAAGTCCAGAGAGTTATCTCCCCCAAATGTTGAGCTGGCGTCGGATGTTGAGTTCGGGTTCCACAAAGGGTCAGACTGGGAGTCGTCTTCACTGTATAAGCTCTGTAACGTCTCTTCATAGCTGGGGTCGATGGTCACTTCGCTGGTGTCAAGTCTCAGCTCCTCATGGCCGAAGCTGACGATGGATTCAACGGTGTCGTTGGAGGTGGAGGGAATGGGAGAATCAGCTCGCCAGTCGTCGTTCATGATGGATGTCAGCAGCTCAAACGCCAATGTTTCCCTCATAACTGTTGACAACAGAAACAGATATGTATAATGCCCCAAATCTGCATAGGATAAGTTGGTAGCCTAAGTGAGTGAGTATAGTTTTACGCCGCTTTTAGCAATATTCCAGCAATATCACGGCGAGGGACACCAGAAAATGGGCTTCACATATTGTACCCATGTGGGGAATCGAACCCGGGTCTTCAGCGTGACGAGCCAAAGCTTTAACCACTAGGCTACCCCACTGCCTAACACCCTGGTTCGAATCACAACTTGGATAACACGTGTGAAGGCCTCTATAGCTACTTGTTATCTTCGAAGTGAAACCACAGCAAAATCCCGAAAACGACATAAAAAAACCACTCACGTATTTGTTAAACCGTCTCTAAAAGAAATATATCATTGAAATTTGGTAAGGTAAGGGTGTACGGGGTAAGAGGACCCTGGGGAGGGGTTCCCAACCCCTCCCAGGTTGTGTTCTGAATGAACTGTAATATTAAAGACATAAAAAAACAAAACAACCCCAAACACATCTCAGTTGTAAATAAACTAAATAAGCAGCCCGCGTTTACAACGTACAGTTGTGAAAAATGAATAAACCCTTTGAGCTCAGCCGATAAGGACCCAGTGTTAACCTACAAGCAACGCAAGTACCGGGGTTCGGGGATTCATTCCTTCTGACCCCGGGGCTCTAGCACGTGACGGTGGTCTGACAGGTGCCCCATCCTAAGCACACACGGTCCAGTGACTGGAATTGGGTGGGTGAAAGGGTTTCCTGGCCGAGTTGCGCAATCAGACATGCTGACGTCGACACAACTCGACTTATGAATGAGCCGGTTCAGCCAGAGCGTAATTTGAGACTATGATGTGAACTCAAAATTGTATTTTGCAACACCAGTATTCGACTTACACGGTACAGAAGCACTCCACAGCTGGGCTATCTATACGTTTATGATATCAGATAACAATTTCACACACTAAACAATGGTAGTCAACACAACAGCGGGATAATGTTCAGTAGTATTTCGCAATCCAATTTTACTCGCTTCGTTTGCGTTCAATGGAAACGGCTTATCGCTGTAGCAAAATACACTATACGAACTGTATTCACAATACCATGTCAACCAAATATGAAGTATATTCAGTTATAAGTAAAAGTCATGTTGTTGACAATTTCATCACTGACATTCCTGCTGTAGCTATGTCCAACCGCCTACGCTAAATCACGTGGCATGTATAAACAAAACTCACCTGTTATTTTCTAGAACATTCGCTGGTGTTAAACGTGTACAGAAAGCACAGTAAATTCAGTCCAGTTGTTAAGGAAAGAACAACGATGGAGGAAATTGAATAAAATACAGCTGACATGCGCTACAGGACGAGGATAAGAGTATAATCTAGACACCAGCCGACGCGGCCTGCGGTTTTATACTCGGGGAACACGCTGCTATTTACAGCACTAGAGCCATACCCCACGTGACCAAACTGGTGATATGACGTCACAAACTAGGTCATGGATTCGCACTTGAATAAACGACAAATACACCCATAATATTTTAAAAAGACTTGCAATTAACATCTTATCGTCTTCCCCCCGTTCTCCTTTCTCAAATCACACCAACACATGATGCTGATTTATTTAGGGAAATTGAAACTAATTTTTCCGCGTTCTAGCGGGCATGTTTGTATTTAGCGGCCGGCTCGTCAGTGTCATGTTGGCCGAAGTGACTCACTATCATGAATGACTTAGTCATACAGGTAAAAGAAGGTCATACACTACACTCAAGCAGAACCAATAATTATATTTACTCCTGCATCTTCGTTCCCTACTCCTGAATCAAAGTGGTGAGTAATTTTCAAACCAAGACATTCTCAATTCCATGGGTCATTCCATGCCACGTGCATTGCGAGCCATTGTTGACATCCTGTTTATGGGCAATGTTTAGGGAAATTTGGGCATGACACACCGAGACTGGGTGACTAATGCTTGTATGGACGCCCATATCGTCCCTAACTCTATATGTCCCACAGCATTAGATGGATACCATAGCTAGGATGGCAGAGGTAATATTTTTTACTTATCACCTGCTTTAATAATTGCTTATGTATTTATTTCATGCCGTTCAATGTTTAATATGAATAGTCGAATACCCTCATACCAAAAATGTGATATATATCTATATACTTGACGAGACTTGCATGCATGGCTGTATGTTTTGGTTGTTCAAGATTTGTTGTTCATTATTAATCAGATAAACTGTGTCATGATTTAATCGTTATTTTATTATTTCAGGGTAGTTTAAACATTATGCTTACTTCTCATCTAATTGTACTGTATGTGATGTTTTTTTTTACGTGCTAGCAAATGGTTTCTTCAAGCTGCTTGTTTGATTATTTGTGATAGTTTTTACAAATACTGTGCTTATACCGGTATGTAATGTATATCTTGTTTATTCTATAGTTATGATGATGTATACATTGTGACCAGTTGTTTATGTTATTGTTTTGGCGATCATGCAAAGCAAACCTGATATTCTGTTTGTCGCCATGGTTATTTGTGGTAAATACAGACAATGTAATAGGCACGTGAAGATTATTCTGTAATCAATGTTACCATGGTACTAAGGTCATGGAATCAGATCTGAATGACAGCCAATGTTGAGACAATTCACACACAGCGTGGAGGATGACGGCATTCCACGTGGAATTTGTAATACCTTATAAATAGCTATGAACATTATCTGACTCACGGCTTATCTTCGCGCATGCTCAGTGTCCGGTGTCTATTGACAGGGGATTCCCCTTGTTCTAGTTACCTGATCACGTGATCACTCAGCGCGAACAGGCTTTTGTTGGGAACAGCTTGTAAAACAGGCAAATTGTTGTTTAATGCGTGTGGTATTATCGGATATGGGCGATATGTTCAGAGATGTATAACGTATGACCTGGTACACAATTTCGTCATATATTCTGTACATTCAATGAAAGCTGAGAACAAATGATTATGATGAAACGGGTCTTTCATTTTGCGTGTACAGTACAGTATATTTCGTCAGGTTTGATGAAGGAGAAAGAATATACGTGTACTCCGAAATGTCGTGTCTCTCATATTACAGAAATTGACATTCATAAATGTTCACCCTTGTATAGTTCGTCATTTTGAGCAGAGGACATGTTACTGTGAGAAAATGCTGGTAAATATTCATCAACTGATGTAAAACACGAAAGTATCAGTTTGATAGAATTTAATGGATTAAAGCAGAGGAAATATGAAAAAAATGATATGTTAGTTTTTAAGTCGTACCTTTAGGTATATACGAGGGTCCTGTTGGACCGTATTTCCTGAAGACAGAGAAGGTAATATTTTGCATTTTGATTATCGAACTGAAAAAAGGTTAATCACATTGCTCTGTTGGGAAGCGTGGCAGCTTATTTTATCTAAGAAATATAAAAAATGAGAACAGCAGCGGAGCGAAAAATATTAAACAATATATAGTACTGTTCAACTTCGGTGGGCGAATGAAAGGCCCTCGAAAAGATAGGGAATGTCTGTTTCGGATTGAACTAGGCAACTGTGTACAAACTTCTGTAAGGGAATGCCTGTTTCGGATTGAACGAGGCAACTCTGTACAAACTTCTGTAAGGGAATGCCTGTTTCGGATTGAACGAGGCAACTGTGTACAAACTTCTGTAAGGGAATGCATGTTTCGGATTGAACGAGGCAACTGTGTACAAACTTCTGTAAGGGAATGCCTGTTTCGTATTGAACGAGGCAACTGTGTACAAACTTCTGTAAGGGAATGCCTGTTTCGGATTGAACGAGGCAACTGTGTACAAACTTCTGTAAGGGAATGCCTGTTTCGGATTGAACGAGGCAACTGTGTACAAACTTCTGTCTGTTTAAGTCACAGAATAACCAGATTTCACAGCGGTATTTCGGACCAATGTTGCATTGAGCATCATCATTTTGAGGGTATTTGTCTTTACGCAACATTCAAAATGTCTTCTTTTTTGTTTGAGCTGCGGATGGCCATACAGGTTTGTTGTCTGGATTTTTGTGGGCTTTTGTGTTTCCCCATTTAGCATGTTTGTAGGTGGTCATGTGATCCTATGATCATTACAATGTATTTCGTTCTTTCACGTGGTGCGGCCGTGCTGTAACTGTCGTAGACGTTTGGGTTTTTTAGATGCATTCTGTAAAATGTTTATATAGCATATTGATATATGTGCTTGTGGTTACATTAGAGGTGGTTGTTCAATATAATCGTCAGTGTTTGTGTTGTGATTATCAATGTACCGTGCAGTCTTTGGGGTTAAGGCGTTTATACATAGATTGTACGTACGCTTCTCATAGGTGGTGCATCAGTCCTAACAAGATCTCATGAGTTATCTCCCTTATATCCCTGCCTCGACGTATCTCAATAGTTAGTGCATCGATAGGTTGCCTTGGAAACATAAACGTAACACATTTTCCTTAAAGCAATGTTTGCAATATGATCATAATTTTAACGTTATGTGACATTAATTCATAATGGTGAATTTGAGCTTTTAAACACTTTTTTTAGTATGGAAGTTTGACTGACTTGACATTTTAACGTTATTCAGTACATTTGCAGTTTTAACTTGTCCTTTCTGAAATATTAGAAGTCAGATAATGTCCCAGATGTTTCTAATTACGACTACACGTGACATTAAATTAAGAAAATGTTAACTTGTTAATTAACTTTTTCATTTTAACAAACTCTTTCATTTCAATGCATTCTGTATTGCGTTTATTTACATGTTTACCAAATCTTTCTCAGTAGAGTAGATGGTGTACTTCAGTGTACATACTGTGTACGTTTTCAAGAAGCAGAATATATTGTGGTGTTACGTATACCACCCAAGCCTGACCCAATCCCTACTAGTCTAATCTGGACATACTGTTCTGTTAACATGAAGATGCGAAAGTGCAAAAGGACATACCTTGATGTACGCGAGTAGCCATATGTGTTGTCTGTGAGAAAGTTCTGTTTTACAGAGCTGGCGTTCATGTTCATGAAATTATAAGTCGATGTGCATGAATACTTTCTGGCGGTGTCTAGCCATATATGGTTGGGGCATTTAAACTGGGTCACAATCAGGACTCGTATAATACCATAGTACGCTGTCTATCCGGCTGATATTTCCATAAATGGGTAGTAATCATAACATAGACCTGTTAGTACACCTGAACCCTGCGGCGTTATCCGGTGTGGACTTCTCCATGGATGCCCTTGTAAGGCAACCTGGATATTCCTTATTTGGCAGTGTCCCTCCAAGTGATATTGATTATTGCTGGCGGTGGCCGATGTCACGTGATACACTATAGTATACGACTGACATCTATACTCGCGTTGTCTATGGTTGTGTGGAGATGTGGAAACTACAGTTGTAAGTAGGTCTGTTAATAACTTTCATATATTTTCATGTAATATTAATATTCAATATGTTCTATATTATTTTACATTAATATATTTTAATTACAATCTCCTCTTTCTCACTCTGTATCTAGCATGCAAATACGGTGCACAATTAAATGTATGTCTTTTTGGTTCGCAAAATACTCTGTTTAATGACGATAATTCCAAATATTATCGATCTACACTATTTTTCGCCCCTCTCCCTCTCTCCTCTCTCTCTCTCTCTCTCTCTCTCTCTCTCTCTCTCTCTCTCAGTATGCAAATAGGTGGCACAATTAATGTGGGTACTTTTTTTATTAACAGTGTTTATTATTACTTACGTAACACTCACTGCAATGTTTTACAGAACTTCGTCGAAAATATGTTTACATTTTGAAATGTACACACCGTGATAAACCGAAATAATAATTCCACTTTGTATTCCCGTTGATCGAGTGTAAACACTTGCCGATATTTGCACATCAGCATTTCGGCTAATCTCCGTGCTGATTGGTCAGTTGAAGTGTCATGACGTCGCAATGCTTTAATGATAACTGCAATACGATATGGCGTTACAAAGGTATCTGTGAAGTCGCAGATTTATAACACAGCGTTATCTGAACATTAGAGAGAAGGGTACAGTTTCTCAAAACGGACGACATTTTGTGCGGTCTACTCAAAGTGGTATTAAGAAATATGTCGAACAATGATCTGGAACCTCGGAACCACGGAGTGACAAATGGTTTGTTTATCGTGCATTTTATAGTGATCTTCGCGCTCTTAATGTGAAAACCATCTTGTAATTCATGCAGACTGACGTTCTGATATAGCTGGCTGTATTTCCCTTGTATTTTGGATCTGACGATAAATACAGCGTCGCCAGTGTGCGAAATTTACGCTGGTCCTGTGGTCCGTGACTAGTAAAAATTCATCAGGACTACTAAATGATAAGTTTGCAGTGGTCCTGGTGGCCAGTGATTTTTTTCAAACTTTAAAAGATGTTAAATGAATATAATAGTATTGATCTACGAATGTTATTTTGGACCAGTGAAGTACAGGACCACTAATTATTGTCCACTCACTGGTCCTGAGGGAAATTTTGAAAGGTTTTAACACTGCCGCCGTCGCTGGTTGATCCCAGGATTAACATCAGCTGTTAGTCGGAGGTTTTTATTATGATCAGTGTTTCATTGAGTATGTTATGTTTATTAGTTTTCGAGTAAGATTGCAATTCATCGGTCCGCTTTTGAGCTAAACGGACTATAGTGTGAACCATATGACCAGTTGACTTTACAACCATCTAAATAATCGACGTGACCCCAAACACGTTCTTTGTCACAATGTTATTGATAGAGAATTATGCTATGGCTACACGTTGGACCCCTTCAGTTATCAGGTACGGATACAGCTTTTTGAGAAAGGGGG